AGGCCTTGGGGGCCGTATCCGGCCCCCGGGCCTTAGGTTGCCTACCCTTGCTATTGAGCTCGGTTTCAGTCGCAATGAAGCGAGGCAAATGCAAAAAACCCCACTCTTTTCCGACAGTAGTTTCGTGGCGGTTCTTTTGAAAAGAATCGATTCCGGCTCTGAGTCATATCATTTTGGAGAGGAGGGACTAATGGCAGAAGGGTGTTTACTACCCTGACTCATTTTTTGGGAAATTGGCCATGAGGAGGACACAGAGACTCCAGATTTTCCTCTCTTCCTCTCAACTTTCCCCAAGGCTGACGTTGGCTTGCACAAAGGAGGAACGGCCCCCTCCTCACCGTGTTGGCGCTTGCGTCGCTGATGACGCGCAGATGATTGACATGCATTTTGAAGCTGCGCAAACTATTGGGAACCACAATCGATTACAGGGGAATAATGAAAAGATCTGCTTTCATAGTGGGGACGACGGACTTTTTGGAACCGATTCACCGACACGGAGCGAAGGCGAATTGCAAACCAGTTTAAATGTAAAAGTGGAACGAGGTCAACTAGTGTCAGGGAAGAGCGGTTTTTTTGCATTTGCCTCGCTTCATCGCGATTGAAACCGTGCACCCTAGTAGGATTGGAACCGGTTTCAAGCGGGAACGACGGTCATGTAACCCGATCAGCAATTCGCTTTAAAATACCATAGTGGGAACGAGGCCAATGTCTTCTGCTAGTACTACAATGTCATCTGCATATCCCCTGTAGGAATAAGGAAATAAGGATATATCCTATAAGGATATAAGGGGGAGCTATAATGGGGAAAGGCTTGTCCTAAGAAGGTTTGCCCTGAGGCTGAGAGAGCATGACTTGCCCAAGGGTCACTCAGTGGGTTTTGCTATGGCTGAGCTGGGAATCGAACCCTAGTTTCCGGGATCAAAGTCCAACACTCAGACCACTCCCCCAAAGAGGGATCAGTTCGCGCCGCCTGCTCCAGAGTCCCTTTGAGCACCAGCACTCTCCAAGCCCCGCCTCTTTGGGGGCGGGGGCCTTATCACCCCGTCCATCAGCCAATAGGAGGGGCGGAGGGCGTGGCAAGGGCGAAAGGCAAGGGGAACGGAGGTGGCGATGGCGTCTCCTATGTTGAGGGCAGCGTTGGCTCAGCGGCGTCTCCTAGCGGCCGGATCGAGGCTGAGCAGGCGGGGAGGGTGAGTGAGTGAGT